ATTTCCTGGGCTCCCATCTGTAACCCAGTGGCTTTTCTTGTTTTCCTGTGTGAAAATTCCCACAAAATACAAAACACATCTTTTACTTAAGCATCTTAGCTCTATGATTCTGGACAACCAAAATTCTTGGCCCAGGCAATTTCAAGTTGGCATGTTCAAAAGGTACTTCTAGCAGATCTGATTGCTTCACAAGTTAAATTCCAAGTAGAGCAATGAGACTAGAGAACCTATAGCAAATTCTACATATTAGACTAAATCCTAACAGAAAAGATGCACATTGATTTCAATGAGCTTCAACAGTATTAAAAAATCAGTTGCAACATTCATTAAGAAGTAACCATTGTGGTTCATTGACTGCACAGGTGAGGTATATTAAGGTGAGGTATGTTAAGAATAGTGCTCATGTCAAGGACCTTTAAAGGCATTCTTGTGTTGTATCTATCTCTCCATTTGACTTCCAGGAGATTACAAAACTTGCAGCATAACAAAATGTTACTGCGCATGTTCCAGTTAGATTTTTTTCAAACTCTTTTAATTCAGTGAAGTCAGGCCTAGCACTGTGAAGGGCCTCTGTCTTCTGGCAACCAGAAGCCAACCTACTGACCACTCTTTCCAAGCATCACATCACAGATGCTCGCCATGTTCCACTGGGATTCCTGCTTCTGCTTCTGCTTCCGAAAGGATAATCATGCTGTGTAACAGCAAGAAAAACTCACTTGAAAAAGTGAGGATTGAAAAAATCATAAGCAATTCAGAGACATGTCTTAAACTGGAGAAATTTTGAAGTATGGCTGCTGCCATTGTCTTGTAACAGGAACAGGTGCCTGAGATTTCTCTCGTTCTTGCCTCAGTTTGCATGTCCTGCTTTTCTCTTTGAATGCTCAGTTTCTCTTTCCAACCCTTTGGCAACATGCGCAGGCAATAAAGCCTTCAGGGCAGTGTAGAAATTGTATTTTATGATACATTTTTGCAGTACTTCAAATGATGGGACTCTAATCTTCTAATAAATGATACTTGAGTGGTAAAACTGTCATCATTCTAAAAATATATTGTTCATTAAAAATATTTTATATATATATATATGTATATGAATATATATCCTGACACAAGTTGTAGATACTTGCCAGCTGAATTAAATTGCTGCTTGGTACCATCCCTGATACTTGAATGAAATTAAAGGATTTACTTCTATTTCTCCCCTTTGGTCACAAAAACAGACTGATTCTGATTATGGTCACTCTCTCTGTCCTAGGATAACATTCTGTGCTTTATATCACATGTTTTTTTGCGATTTTATTAATAAGCTATTGGGCAATACTTGCCAAAACTATAAGTGCGTGTGTGTGTGCACATATACATACTCCTACAGAAACACATTAAAAATGGTAGCTCCAGTGAGTGATTTGTTCTGACAGCTGCATTGTCAAGTTATCAGAAAAATGAAAAGGAAAGATGTAAGCTGTAGTGAATGAATGAGACCCTGCTGTAAGACATCTTGAGCAGCTTTTAAAACAAACTGCTAGCAGAAAACATCAAAAGACCTATAGAGCTAAAAGAAAAGAAAATGAAGGGGATTATAAGAAGCAATAGCAATTGTAGGGACTAAGGCCTTCCTGAAAGTCACTTGTCAAAGAATTTAGATGGGAAATTGCCAGGAATGCCATCTGCCTATGGGACCATATGTGTAGGGCCAGGTCTTACACTCTTTCCTTCTGCCAAAGGAGTTTTCCCACTGAAATTTTGCTCACTTAGGGACCATCAGTTACTCCATATAATGGTGAAGAGTCCTATGCTCCTCTTTCCTCTTCAGCCTGAGTGTTTTCCTTGAAGAACATTAGTAGGGATGATGGTAATGAGAGGAAAGATGAACAAACTCAGAGAGAGTAGAGAATGACGCAGAAGCAGCAGCAAAGTTCTTGACATAATATGCAAACATTCCTGGAGAAAAATGCAAAGTCTTCTGTGAGATGAAAAAGAGTTTAAGGTTTCAGAGCGGAAGAAGATAGAACTATATGCTCGTGGCCCTCACTATCCCCATCGTACTGGGTAGGGAGCAGCAGGGTTAAGCATATGGCAGTGGACACAGCATCACAGCAGACCCACATGCATTTTAAGGCCACCTCTGCCCTGCGAGATGGAGATGTGACAGGAGATGCGGCTGAGGTGTCGTGTTCATCAGTCTCCTTGACAGATGTTCCCTGAGGCCACCATGACAGGCTAAGAGCCTCTCTGAGTTTCCAATGCAGACAGACTTTACTCTGGTCCACAGCATAATCCTTTTCTTGTCTGGATGGGAGGGAGAGGAATGGGGACTTTGCAGCTACAACTCTAACAAATGGTCTTGGAGGATGCAGCATTCCCAGTACAGTCCAAGAGCAAAGGCATTTGGCGCACACGGACAGTGGCATTTAAGAATAGTAAAAGCAAGGATATACTATTAAAGGTATACTATTAAAGGAACATTGTCAGATTAAATATCGTGCCTTTCAACAAATTGGTGTGCCTGTGTTATAAACAGATTATTAAAATCGAAAGACTTTAAAAAATCTAATTTACTCTCCCTGTCTAAGGTGTTTACTTCCTGCATTGCTCCCAGCTTGCACGATTAAACTAGACTAGTCCATTTCACTTTTACTGTTAGTTTCTAGTTGAGTTTATTCTTGGCCTCTAATTCTGTGGTATTGCAAATTGCAATAAAGCCTTGAGGCTTCCAACAGGTCATGCCACTCTTATGTAGAGCCTTATACTAATGCAATAAATTGCAACCCAAAAGCACATATAAAACCAAACAAATATATTCTGCACATAAAAGCAGATGACACAGAGGGTAAAGAAATAGACTAGGACTGCATCAAAAGACTATTAACTATATATATACATATATATAAGAAGTGTGTATGTATGTGTATATGCACACCTGTACCATATAAATTTACTGTATCTGCAATAAATATTACATTTATCCAATATATATTGCATATAACAGATAGCCTATTACTAGTCATGATTATCACTCTTTAAGTTATATTTGGTCCTGGAAATGTGGAAGGACTGGGGAGAAGACTGCCTCTTTTCATGGGCAGCCACTTTAAGCCATGTGCTACTCCGGTATAAATCACATATTATAACAATGCTTTATAACTTGAACTGAGCTTACACTTCATCTTGCCTTCATCAGTGCAAGGAGCTACTTGCATGGCATTTGTCAGCCTGTAATTTCCACACCCTGCCTATTAGCCAACCCATGTCTGTCAAGGATGGAGGAGATGGTACTAGCATTGGAGAGAATAAAAAGGAGAAAAATAAAGTATCCTGTAAAATCATATTTTTAAAAGAAAACAAAATAGTAATCTTAAACCCAGGATGTAGAATATATAGCTGCTAAATCAAGAGTCATAATTTGAATAATTGGCAATAACTTGGCCTTAGAAACTGAATGCATCAGGAGACTTCATTCCAGCCTGCTTTGGCTACTGAAACAATGTACGTGGGAAAAGAAAGAGCATTGGCTAATTGTGTTGCAACTTCAGCATTCATTCAATTACAGAAATGCACATCTGTCAACTCAAACTCTCTGTGAAGGGAGATTTGACATCTCTAAATTAAAAAAATAAAGTATATATATGCATTTATATGTAATACCTTTTAATTATATGTCCTTCAATATACTAATTAACATACTGAAAAGTTCTTCCAGTTTATTTAACATACTGCAAAGTACTTCCAGTTTATCAAACAAAAATATTTCATTATTTTCAAATATTTCATTTCCACAGAATGAATATTTTACCAAACAAAAATATTCTTTATTCAAGAAAATAGAGGAGCTATATTAAGAATCTGTCACAAATATCCTCCTGCATTTCCCTTTCCTTTTTCTAACTCATAAAGCTCTCAATAGAATAAATTGTAGATGTATCTTTGCTGGTTGTGATTTTCTCCATCCGGATTGTTGTCAGAGGCTGCCTGCTTATTTACAAGCCAGCACACTATTTTTGTGGTGGGGGAAGGGAGGGCAGGGCAAAATTTATAACAGCATTCTCTTTGGGATGCTGTTCTCATAATGAACACAAATTGTTCTCATTTATCATTTTGTGACGTAATCATATAAAAGCCTTTCCCATCTTCATCCCCATAAGGTACTGTTTTGCTATATTGGATTATAATGACAAATGACAAAATCTTTTGCATGACTTCAACTATCACGAAATTCTAAAGGGATTGTTACTCTGTAACACTACCGAGGATGTCTGATAGAGGTATCTCATGCTGCAAGCTGCAGTTAAAAGTACTCAGTCTACCAATAACTCAGTTACACAGCACTAGCTTTGAGAAAAAAAAATAGTTGTCCTTAAAACAACCCAATACCATAGGGAGTAAGCAGTAGTCATGTTACTAAGACATCCAAGTGTGAAATAGAGCGAGGGGTTCAGCTTTGGAGATACTTTATTCAGAAAAGAGAACCCACATGAAACTTTCAATATATCAATGCTTTGAGGCTACAAGAAATGAGGAGTTATTATCTGCGGTGTTCATTTGCTTTCTATCTTCTCAAAATCGATAAATCTATTCCATTCACTTAAGGCTGCCGAAACATGCAGAGCTTGAGTAAGACCTCATGGAAGAAAATGGTGTTCAACATTGTAGAAATGTGTTTACTGCTTCTCTGGAACAGACCCTGATGCTATTTTGAGTAGAAGAAACAGAAATCCTCCCCAGGGTTCCAGGAATAGACTTCACCATTTCACATTTCCCCTGGAGCACCCTAGCAATTTAAAATTTGTCATGGCTTATTTGCAAATAGGAATGCATATAATTAAGAGACACAGTGCAGAACTTAGAACATTTAGTTTATTGAGCACAAGGTTTGCCACATAAATGAACTGCCCTTTTGGGAAAATTGAGTACAGTTATTTGCATAAGCTGACAAATAGCTAATAAGTCCTCAGATCAACAAGTACCCCCAAAGAAGATGGGTCCTGAACTTCCGTCCTCTGCAAATCTTTTGCTGGAGATTTCCTTTAAGTTCTATGAACTCTCATCTCTTTACTCCTGTAGAAGGGAAGAGTTAGCTTCTCTTAAACTATTATTTCCTTCATCTATATCCTAATTTTTGTGAATGATAAAGTAATGACTAAGAGATTCTGTATTATTTTATTAAAACAGTGATACATTAAAACAGTGATACATTTAAAATGTACTTAATCTAAATAGCATTCTAACACATAGCTCCTATTAAAATATATTGCAAAAACTGCACATTTCCACTTTGCATTTAATTAGAGAACTCTGCAGGCCTAATCGGCCTTGAATACACATTGATTTTATGTCTTCACATGAGTAAAATGAAACAGTACTGTAATGCAATCCTCTAATTATGACATTGGCTCCAAATCAGTCACTGGATCTAATAAAAGTTCACTGAATGTAGGAGTGGAAGTACTGTGAAATCTTTTGTTACCTTTATAAGAGGAGAAAAGCAGTTGACACATCAAGAAAATCCCTTTTCACTCAAGGAAGAAAACATATGTCCCATATATTCTCCTAGTGAGTAAACATAACAGTAAAACTCTTGCCTATAACTTACCTGTTTCTCTGTCCATAAAAATGACTGAGGTGTTGAGTGCTCTGGCTACTCAGTGAAATAAGGGAAAATGAAGGGTCTTCCAAGAGGTATTCCTCATCCCACTCTTCTGGCATCTTTTCTTAGTATTTGTAGCTCTTGTGGTAAGCAGCACAGTGATGACACTAACGGTGAAGAGATCAAAAAATAGAACCAGGATAACCACACTCATTTGCTCGTGCTGTCCTGACACTGATAGCGAGTTTCACCTCCGTGTGCTGAGTCCTTCAGCTTCTAAGTGATATTCACAACACAAAAACTGACCATCAGACAAGGCAAAAGAAAACCACAGGCTTAGGATTCACATAAACTTAGGATTCACCTAGTCACCTAGTCCATTCCCTGCCCCTATGCAAGCCATCTATACTAGTCTTGACAACCTATTATCTAAATTGTTCTTTATACACCCCCAAAATGGAGACTTCACAGACTTGCTAAGCATTTTATTCTTTAAATATCTTAATGTGTGGAAGTCTTATCAGTGACTGAACTGAATCTCCATGGCGACAAATAGAATTCATGATCAGAGATTGCTCCTTCTCATAAATAGGAATGCTTTATATATTGGAAGACTGTTACAACCGCCACTCAAGTCTTCTTCTCTGTAAAATAACCAAAGTTAATCCATCTTTCCACAGAAGTCACATTTTCTGGATCCCTAGTCTCTCTCCTCAGGCCCTTTTCTGCAGATCTGTGGGACCAAATGCAAATGAGATGGCAGCCTGTTCTGAATGGCCAGTATTTGTCTTATCACAAAAATGTCTAAAATCTCCATAGAAATAATAAATGGTGGAACTGATTCTTGCCTTTAAGGAGTAAATATGGAAGTTTGCACAGAGCAGTATGTAAATAACAAGGAGTAATGGGATCTAGGAGACTTATATTTGGATGAATTTCCATTTTGCCAGTTTCAGGATCTGCCTGCTCTAGCTGTTGGCCCCACCAGGTAGAGGGTCAGGTCAAGTGTCTCAGTGTAGAACAAGGCTCTCAGTGAGCATGAAGTGGCATAAACATAGACAGAGCTGGAATATGCAAGTGCATATCTCTGATGCCTGAAAATTACATCATTTTAAATCTTCAGCGCACTGGAGTACCTGTGGTGACAACATCATAATAATCCTTTGAATTAGTACACTTCTACAAGAAATAAAATGTATTTCAGCCATTACTCATGATCCTAATATTTGGAATCCTTAGCATTTAGAATTCACACACACATTCATCACTTTGATTTTGCTACTTGAGTTATGAATGAACACTTATGTACAGAAAATGTACCCTTTATCATTAGTTGGACATTCTATTTAACAAATTATGACAAAACTAATATTTTTCTCTTGAAATAGATCAATTTTTTACAACATCTGACTTTATTACTGGCATGTTTTTCCCTACAATATGATTATCTGACATTTTTGTAGATCTTTTGCAGGACTGCTTTTGTACACTTATGTCAAAAATGGCACAAAGAAAAATTATTGATTCCCTGCATTGAGAGTTGGCGGCCTATTTATTTATAAAGAATTCTTATCATTATTTTATGTGCTCAAAAATGCAAGAAAAGTTAAAGAATATGATTGTCGGTATTTTTTTGAAAATTCAGAGAAACCACGGAAAGGTGAAATGAAAATAAAGTTGTGTCTTTTTATCATAAGTAGTTTTTTGTCATACCATGAATCTCAAGAGAGTCATTGCCATTTTGTACCACATGTACCCAATATTTAAAATAACTAGAGGCTGACAAAATATGTCTTTTTATGCATGTCTCAACGGCCTGCGCAAAACAACCCACTCATTTCACAATTTCTATCCATCTTCCTTCCTAGGGCAGGGAAAGGAGGAAGCATGGAACCTCACAATCCACTCTTGCTACTTCCCTACATTTTTCAGTCATAGCCACCTTAGGATTTATGATGCTCTTCTCAAGTGATCTAAGAGCAGCTCAGCCCTTCTAGGTCTGTTCTTTCAGTGTCAATTGCTGTTCAGCCACTAGCCAGGTCTTATACAAAGCAAAGCACCAATATTTCATAGAAAACTTTTCTAAAAAGCACATATTTCCAGCTAGTTCCCCTTTATCACCTGGGAGATACTGACAGATAAAAACCTCATGCCTGTCCAGGCCAGATGATCTCATTCTTTACAGCTTCGATCCCTTTCGTCTTAGCTCTTTGAAGGTCAAAATAACCTGTAGTTCCTTCCCAGGCAAGTAATATTTCAATCTCTTTAGCTGCATTCTTTCAGCATTCAGAGATTTTCATTAATTACTCTCCTGTGCTTCTACTTTCTGAAAGAAACATCCTTCGGGTTACCCACAGCCTCAGTAGCCAACTGATCTGCAAGGATATGTTTATAAAATTAATACAACAGTGTAATCCCTGTTTCTGTACCACAGATCAGACCTCAGTATTTTTTGAATAACTCATTATTGCAGTGCACTGGGACTTTCACAATAGCACGTTAAGTTTCAGAACAGCTATGACCATTGATTATTCCTTACATGGTTGATTGTAAGCTACTCTTCTCAGCTGCTTTGAATCATAGCTGATTCAGAGGAAGTTCAGAGAGGGGCACTGTTTATTTCACTAGAACACTATTTTGTACCTAGATCTGTTTTCGTAAGTGTATCAGTCTACAATAAAATGAGCACATTCACACCAGGTGATGGTCAGAGCAGCTCTTGTACAGCTTCTTCCTCCCTCTTTGTCAACCAGAGCTAAAATAACTGAATAGTACAAAAGTGAAAAAGCAAGAGAGATGTCTGCAAACTTACTGGACGTAGTTTGTGATGACCACTGTCTTTAAAAAGAGCATCTCCGATCTCATCTACATGATCATCTCAAAGAAGTCACCTGAAATCATCATATGCCATGCATTGTGCATCTTAGTATACCACTATACCTGATTAAGCTGAAAACACCACATCTTCTAGCAGTTGCACCCTGGTATTATTTTCAAGTCAACCTGATGTTATTATTTTGAAGTAGTTCTAAAACAGCAGTTCTTTGTTAAGCACAAGCATGGCTAGAAAAATAGATGCATGTGGGCTAAGCAGGGCACATTAAATATTTATGAAAACAGCTGCGGGCAACTAGATGCAAATGACACTTTGATAGCACATGTGTTTGAAGGCTCTGTTTATTACTGGTAGGGTTTCTTTGCTTTTTTGAGGAGAGGCTTAAATCAGAAAGATAGAACATGATAGAACCGGGTTGCTGGAGTGAAAGCATGCTCTATGGCTAGAAATAGATGCAATAATCAAATATGCCCATATGATAAATATGTATTAAAAATCCTAGTAAAAGCAATAATTTTTGCTCTCTTGTGATCACATTTCAAGTCTTCTCAGATTTTACCATCTTCACTTTCTGCTTTCAGTCATCTCGGCTGAGATACACTCGCTCACACTGCAAAGGAGAAGAAGTTATTCTCGCCTTAAAATGAGCTTAGCTCACTCAGTTACCAGACTTAAACTGAACAGACAGGAGCTAGTGCCTGAGGAGAAGTGGAAAGCAAGGACAGTAATGTCTTAAACCACATAAATTACATTACATGAGCACATGTGACTACATCCCAACTGAGGCTGGTGGCTGTCAACAGCTGGAAAGAATCAATATCCACTAATCCAAGAACAGTCCTGCGGGTCACAATTTGCAGAGAAAATCTCTCACTTTGCTAAAAACTCATTCTGTGATTCCAGTCAAATTGCAATTTGCAGTACATTAGGCTTCCCCAGAGCCATCACCAAAGTAGATGTGATCATATATGCTTCACAAAGGCATTTATGCTTCTTTCAACAAAGTTTAGAGAACATTTGACCATCTTCTGAAGATGAAGACTATAAAAAAGCCAAAGTCTTCTGTGGTAGAAGGTTTTGTTGATTCGAAAGAGAAGATAGAATCCAGGCTTAAACACTTAATAACAAATTCATTTTGACACATTATGTGCTATTTTTATCTTTGCTCTTTACCATACTCAAAACAAGTTATATAAATCATCTGTTCTCAAAATGGTAGAACCTCTGAATTATGTTTTTAAGGCATAGGTGATGTGATAAAGAAATAAAAAAAAATCAAACTTTTTAAAGTGAATAAATATGACATTGCAAAATTATTGTGCAGTCCAAAGCAATTTCAGAAAAACAGCTACCAGTTTAACTTATTAAGGAAGTTGGACCTGAGCAAATATCTGCCCTCCTTTCTACTTAGCAAGCTTCTCACTTATTCTCAGCAATTCAGACGGATAGTTTATGAAATCAATGGTGTGGCAGTTCACACTATTGCAAGTAATGTGTTGACTCTGTTCACTTCATGTTGTGTTTCTAGCAAGGGGGCAGCAGCTGAAAAAAAAAAAAGAAAAGCAAGAATTAAAGAAGGACTGCTTTTTTCTCAGGTAAGTTCCACAGACTTCAGTAATCTGTATGTCAATCAGAGCTAATTACAGGACATACAGACAGATAAGTTGGCAGGTATCTTGATGGAGGTGAAGTAATGCTTCACCTCCATCAGGGGTAGACTAAACTATTATAAAAATGGTGTCAAACTGAGAGTTAATGAAAAATTGACCTCCCTCTGCATCCTTTAGTCAGAAAGGGGGGAAAAATAATAGCGAGAGGCCATAATGAGGGAAACAGAAATGCAGCTATCTTCAGAAAAAAGAGCATTTTAGACGAAGACAGTGAAGACTGGAGGAAGAGATTTCCTTCGGGCAATCTCAGCAGTAGCCAAAGTGTAGCTTTTTTGTATGATCATCTATCTTGGCCTTAGGGTTGTAGAAAAATTGAAGTGTACACACTGAAATTTAGTCTCTTCATGTTCTAAAATTCTTGACAAAAAAGAGACCCTACTATGTAAGTTTTAAAAAGAGGTTGGAGGGACACATGACAAATGTATAGACAGTTGCAAAACGACATACGTGCACATGGCAGTAGATGGCTGAACACTCATCTATACACTTAAATGGTTGTTCATTTGCTCAGATTGAGCAACATCCCTCATAGCCTGCAAATACATAAAGCTGTTTTGACATCTGCATAACTTCAGGAGATAGCAGTCCTTATAAGTGGAAGCTGTATCTTACCATTGTTCTTCATTCTTCTTTTGTCATTTTACCTAGGATTAGATTGTATGAAGACATCTTCCGCCTAAGTCTATGGCAGTACTAGGAAAATAAACCTTGAGTCTAATTAGAAGCAGTGTAAAGAAACAGTATGGTAACCCTTTTTATAAAAAATCATTGTGTCTAGAAGTAGATTCTCAGACTATTTGAATTAATCACTTAGGAAGAGCAGGCACTTACCTTTCTCGCAGAAAGCATTAATAAGTTGGTGGACATTTTTCAAAAAGAGATAAATAAGTCATGTAAGCTTTGAGAAGAAATTGATTTTTGCTTTGTGAAGTAAATGATGAAAATCAGTGGACTGAAGTACTAGAATAAATGGCTGCAAGTGTATGCAACCCTCTTACTCAAGCAGGGACACATAGAGCATGTAGCACAGGGTCGCATCCAGGCAGGTTTGGAAGATCTCCAGAGAAGGAGATTCTACAACCTCCCTGGGCAGCCTGTTCCAGGGCTCTGTCATCCTCACCATAAGGAAGTTCTTCCTCATATGTAGATGGAACTTCCTGGGTTTCAGCTTGTACCCATTACCCCTTGTCTACCGTACTCAATCTGCTGGTGATGCTCATCCCGATGCAGGCCAGGATCCCATTGGCCTTCTCGACCACAATGGCACACTGACTCATTGTTAACCTGTTGTTAACCACAACACCCAGAAGTCTCTCTGCAGAACTGTTTTCAGCAGGTCAATCCTTAATCTGTACTGGTGCCTGAGGTCACTCCTCCCAAGTGAAGGACCCTGCACTTGTCCTTGTTGAACCTCATGAGGTTCTTCTCTGCCCAGCTCTCCAGCCTGTCCACATCCTTCTGAATGGCAGCACAGACGTCTGGGATGTCAGCCCCTCCACCCAGCTTGGTATCATCCACAAACTTGCTCAGGGGGCATTCTGTGCCCTTGACCAAGTCACTGAGCAGTACTAGGCCCAGTACTAACCCTTGGGGGACACCACTGGCCACAGAGCCCCAACTAGACTCAATGCCATTTATCACCACCTGCTGAGCTCTGCCTTCCAGCCAGCTCTCAAACCACCTCACTGTCCACTCATCTAACACACACTTCCTGAGCTTCCCTATGAGGATGTTATGGGAGTCTGTGTCAAAAGCTTGCTGAAGTCAAGGTAGACAACATCCATGACTCTCCCCTTATCCACCCAGCGAGTCATCCCATTATACAAGGCTATCAGGTTGGTCAAACACAACTTCCCTTTGGTGAATCCATGCTGACTATTCCTGATTACCTTCTTTTCCTTTACATGCCTGGAGATGGTCTCTAGGATGAGCTGCTCCATCACCTTTCCAGGGTTGGAGGTGAGGTTGATTGGCCTGTTGTTTCCCAGCTCTTCCCTCTTGCCCTTTTGAAGACTGGAGTGACATTAGCTTTCTTCCAGTCCCCCATCACCTCCCCCACTCTCCATGACCTCTCGAAGATGACAGAGAGCAGCTGAGCAATAACCCCTGCCAGTTCCCTCGACACTCTTGGGTGCATCCCATCGGGATAGATTTATGGGCACCCAGTTTGCCAAAGTAATTTCTTACCCAATCCTCTTTGACCAGTGGAAAGGCTTCCGCTCTCCTAGTTATTTCTCTTGCTGTCGGGGTCTGTCGTTCATGGGGACTAGTCTTAGCAGTAAAGACAGAAGCAAAGAAGGCATTTAGTAACTCTGCCTTCTTGGCCTCCTTCGTCACCAAGGCATCCTCCCCATTCAGCAGCAGACCAACATTTCCCCTGGTCTTCTTCTAGTCTTCCTCTTACTGATGATGTATTTATAGAAGCCCTTCCTGTTGTCCCTGACATCTCCTAACTCGAATTCCAAACTCGAATTCCAAACAGGCCTTGGCCTTCCTCGTTGCATCCTTGCATTCTCTGACAATGTGCCTATATTCTTCCCATGTGGCCTCGCCCTTCTGCCACATGATATATGCTCTCTTTTTTTCATTAAGTTTACCCAACAACTCCTTGCTCAACTACACAGGTCTCCTGCCCCCCTTACTCAACGTCTTTCTTGTAGGAATACACTGACTCTGAGCTTGGAGAAAGTGGTGCTTGAATACTAGCCAACTCTCCTGAACTCTGTTTCCTTTTAGGGTCCTGGTCCAGGAGATTCCTCCAAGAAGGTCCCTGAAAAGGTGAAAGTTGGCTCTCTCAAAGTCCAGGGTAGCTATCCTACTTCTCGCCCCACTTCCTCCATGGAGGGTTGTGAATTCCAATATCGCATGGTCACTGCAACCAAGACTGCTCCCAACCCTCACATTTCCCACTATACCATCTCTATTTGTTAGTATCAGGTCTAGCAGTGCCCTTCCCCTTGTTGGCTTATTACCTGCAATGTTGTGCAGCAATCTCCTGGACTGCCTGTTCCTAGTTGTGTGGTTATCCCAGCAGACATCAGAGTGGTTGAAGACCTCCAGGAGGACCAGGGCCTGTGATCGGGAGGCTTCTGGCAGCTACCTGTAGAAGGCTTCATCCTCTTCGTGGTCAGAAGGAATGTAGTAAACACCTATGACAGTGTCAGTCCTGCCCAGTCCTTTAATCCTCACCACAGGCTCTGAACCCACTCTTTGTCCTCCCCTATACAGGGCTCCATACATTCCTGTTGCTCTCTCACATAAAGAGCAATTCTGCCACCTCAACTTCCTGGCCTGATCTTCCTAAAAAGCCTAACGCCCTCCATGGCCACATTGCAGTCATGAGAACTATCCCACCATGTCTCAGGAAATGCAATGAGATCATAGCAATGCAATAGCACATGCATCTCCAATTCCCCTTTTTTTGTCCCCCGTGCTGTGTGCATTTAAACAGAGGCATTTCAGTTGAACTCCCAATGTGCCTCTCATTCTAGCTGATGCAGTTGCAACTTGACTATGTGGGCCTTCAGAAGTTCTCATATTTTGCCATTCTCCCTCTCCAGGT